GGAACGATTAGAAGTCAGCACGTAGTGAATAGTATTGCCCCCACTGCGAGGCAAAGACTACTTGAACATTATGGCCCAACCGTTCTTATTACTCTGTCTAACAATTTTATTTCGCTTTTCATGTTTCCATTTCCAGCAGCTCTGAATGCGATGTAATTGTGTCTTTCTCAGCAAATACAGAAGAAGTTTTAATTATCATTTCGTGAATTAATCCTTTGAGGATTTCGTGTAGAAGTCGTTATCCGCGCGAAATCCTGTGATATTGCACCTACCATTCACGAAAGCAAAGGGCAGGCACTTTCGATCATGCATTATTCACGCAGTAGCGCACATCGAGCGTAGCAGTATCCAAGTCACTCTCCTCTCGCGCTCTAGCCGATCGACTAGGGATTCAGCGGAGATTGAGCCGGCTTAGGGTGGTAGCCCTGGTTTCCTTTTGGCTTTTCGCGTCAGCACCTCCACTACAAGTTTTAGTCGTCACGTGACCAAACCAGCTCAGCTTTCGCAAGCTAGTTCCTCCTTCGATTGGTTTCGTTGCCAAGTCTCGTCGGCGGTGATAAGTTCTTAGGCTGCGTTCATGACTTATCACGACGTCACCGATGCTGACGTGATCGATATTTTCAACGTAAGCGACGTTTTCGGCGACCAAGGAAAAGTACGTATCCGCGAAGTTGGAATACGCACTGATCCCACGTAGTCGATGGAACCAACTAAGCGGCGGACGTAATTGACGTAACTGGCGTAACCAACGTAGTCGACGTATCTAATCTTCTGTCGCTGGTTAAGCAGCGTCCAGACTTTTCCCGCTGCAATCGTCGCGCTGCAACTGTCGCGCAGCAACTGTACCAGACCCCAGCTTCCCTTTATGTTCTTTCTTCCGGTATTCAATCCCTTTTTCACTGTTTCTCATTTCTACCTGATTCTTAGCTCCTCTTTTTCACTTTAACATTGAATTTTAATGTAGTTTTTGATACAGGACACTGTGATAATGATTTTGTATACCGTTTTCGACTTTAATTATTCAGTCTCAGGGTTGCTATTGATGTTTGATGTCTTGCAGTGGTGCATCATGTTGATCCCGATTACGAAATTGTTTTTTTTAATCAATGTTCTGTTCTGTACAAATTTTGTGTTCAAATTCAATGTTAAAGTGAAAAGAGGAGCTAAGAATCAGGTAGAAATGAGAAACAGTGAAAAAGGGATTGAATACCGGAAGAAAGAACATAAAGGGAAGCTGGGATCTAGTACAATTGAAGCGCGACAATTGCAGCGGACAATTCTGAACGCTTCCTTACGTCGATTACGTTGACACGTCGGATCGATACGTATGTACTCTTCCGAACGTAGTCGCCCAAAACGTCGGTTACGGGACCAATATGTATTAAGTCTTTGAAAGGTTGCCACCGGTTATGCAGTTGCGTCGGCAATCTCGTCGCAAGCATGAACGCAGCCATAGGAAAGGATTTCCTCCAACGTGCTTTCGAGAATGAGCAGCAGAGAGATGATGGCTGGATTCAGAGGGCTAGTCCGAAGCTCTGCTAACTCGTCCATTTTCAATCCCCTTCATGGATTTCTGTTCTGGGTAGTCTTCGACTGTTTCTTTCTTTTTTCTTTACTAGCGTTCCACTTACCACATGATCTAATGGTTCTGAGCTCTACAACCCGCGAAAAACGATCGCGGGCACTGTCTCAATGTGCTGTACGGAAGCAGCAGTAGCGTCTGCCTGATGATTAGAACATACAGTCATAACTTTCTCACCAATAGCCTCTCTTCCAGGCTGCTGCACAATATCTGTGCTAGTTTTTTGCACGATGTTTCCTGATGAATAATAAGACGTAAATAAATGAAATTCGGCAATTATTTATTCATGTAATGATGGTTACACGTACATAATTAGTTTCTTGTTGATATGTTAAGAATTTCTGCGAACAATTGGAAGTTTCTTCTTGCATAATGCTTAATACGTTTGGAAAGCGGCTAGCGGTATCGTAGGCGGTTCTTCTTTAGGTGCAAGAAGTTTTAGAATCTTGACAAAGTCAGCTCTCTCCTCTGGGTTCTGAAAACGCTTTCCATGAAAATGGGTGAGGTTGTTGTCAAAGTTTCCATCCCATTACTATCGGCGTGAATTTCCTAAGAAGGAGAGAAAGCACTTTGTAAAATCCATATTCAAGGCACAGGAACGAACGACGCTACAGGCTTCGTGTTTATGCTCGTTAATTTCAGTCAAGGTATTTACAGAGCTTCATCGGCTGGAAAGTTCACGATTGGCTAGAAATACAACGGACCGTTCACTAGACACTCATGCCATTCATGTGCTATTCCAGGTTTGTCGTTGGATATGAAGAGCTCGCAGCGACTGTAGATCTTTTTCTTGTTAGTCCAACGGCATATCCAACTTTAAGGCAGCATACAATAGGTGAAACTCTTCAACTTGGTATAGGTAAGGATTGCGTGCAATGAGCAGGACATGCCGTATGAGAGCTGCACGACTGGTAGGTCGTGCTGAATCAATCACTCATTTCCCTGTGCTTTACGAGTACATCTTGGTTAGCGCCAAGCAATCGTTAATTGTCATTTACAGCTGCCTCCCTTAAGCCGCGTTCATAGCGTGCGACAGCGAAGAAATGCATGAATTGAAGAATGAATTGAAGAAATGTATCGGTTCTCCGCAGTTCGTTAGTTCTGCGTCTGCATTTCTTCACTGACGCAAGCTATGCGCGCTGCCCTACGTGGCCACACAGAATAGAACTGGTATTATTTTCGAAGTAGGGTGCGTATCATTGAGATGTGTTGACGAGAAATTAGAAAAATGCTTTCTGTCCTGAGACTCTGGCTGATTAGTTTTCAGCAAGGACACTAAGGACTGTACGATTGTTCACCTTTACGAAGCAAACATTCATGACTTCTTGCACAATAGGTGGACTTCCTTCAGGAGCAGACATAGGCGCGGGATCGTTCAAGATGTGCTCTTTTGCTTTCGCATTTGTTTCTCCAGGGAACGGATCAGAAGCACAACGTGCAAAAATCTCCCAAAGCAATACACCATAACTCCACACATCGGTTTTCGTTGAAAATATTCCCTTGAAAAAACTAATTAGTGTTCGCATCCAAAAAACATAGTGGGCTTATGAAGCCACCTGCCGAAGCGTTTCAGGAGCCAGCCATTTGATGGGTACGCTTTTCAACTTGTCCATTTTCATTTCTGTCTTATCTGCTATAGACAGACCAAAATCCGAAATCTTCAACTCATCCTTCTGCCCCAATAAACAGTTTCGAGCGGCAAGATCACGATGAATAACCTGAAAGTTGCCTTCGAAGAACCTGCCAAGGCACCGGTCAATGATGCTATCTAAACGAAGCCGAGGTAACCTCTTTGAATAACTTTCCCGCGCACCCGTTCGAGTGGCTCTCATTGGGGCCAGGGCACATCGTTGGTTGGGGAATCCCCAACAGGGGGTCGTATTTTGCCGCCAGGAGAGGGGGGGGGGTCGTAATGAGTGCGGTAGCCAGTAACGAGCAGCGCAAAGGTGTCAGTGTGCTGAGTCCTGTACAGCGAAACTTGCTTTGTAGAGAACTCGGATATGTAAAAAAATAGTACAAAACTTTCATTCATCAAACTAATCCGAAATAACTGGAAATATAATAAGTCGACATCATCTCGTAAGTGACTAAACAGTACAACTCATACTCTGGTTCGCTGCGGATGATGGGGCGTGTCCGCGATCGCGCTTGGCGCTGAGCCAACCTGTTTTTTTCGACAAACGACAGGACTACCATATCGTTCG